ACTCAACTTTTGGGTTAAAACTGTCGGTCTTAGGTTGGTTTGGCCAAATATTGGGTTAAAATTTTCAATGTAAAGGATAAAAAGAAACTTTTATTGATAGTCATTAGAAATTATACCTGTGATGGACTTGTGACTTGTCCAGCCCTGAGGGGAGCCAGTGCTGAGGGTTATGGTGGAGGAGGAGAAGTTGTGGAACCTCACAGACTGTGGTCTGTTTTAAGAAGTCTAGGTATGTATGTATATATGTATGTATGTACAGTACAGTATGTATCTATCTACAGTACAGTACATGTATGTATGTAATCCCATCATCAGTCATCTAAAATTTGGTTATGGTCGAGAACTTCAGATCTTTTTGCAAGGTGCTCCATGTTACAGAAGTGGAGTAGGAGAAGGCCCCTTTGCCTAATTCGGTCCACGCTGAGGGTACACTGCAGGTAATTATGTCCTGAGAGCGCATGCTGTAGCTGCACTCACAGAGTGACATGTAGGAGGAGATCTATGAAAGCAACAGACCAAGAAGTGATTAAAAGATGAAAATGTACCAGTATGAGAGTCTGCGTGAAGTTAATGATGACCAGTTATCAGCGAATACAGGGTGCAATGATGGGTACGGTAGTTACAGCCAGTTATGAATCTTAGCGCACCATGATAGACAGCGTCCAACATCTGCATGGTGCTTGTAGGGGCGTACATGTAAATAATGTCACCATAGTCACTGTAGGGGAGGAATCTACGAGGCGTTTCCTAGCGTTCAGAGTGAGGATCTATTTCTAAAAACGAAACCCAGTTTTACTTTCAGTTTCCCTAAATATAATTTAATAATATATCTCCTCCTTGAATCGCCACCTTATCGTTGTGGAGGAATTTGTACGCCTGAATGATCCCTAGGAGCTATGCTTTCTGGGGCAATTTTAATTGCCCCTGGTGGGTCTCCCAGGGCAGGTTTGTTCTAGCAGACAAAGAGCGATTCAGAAGACTTGCATAGACCAAATAAAACAAGGAACTGGGTGTCACTTGCCCAGATGTGGGTTACTGGGGCCCCACCCAGGAATCAGGCCTGGGGGAGGGGCTCGTCGGTGAGCACCTGGTGACCGGGTCTTTACCCATGGGGCCCAGTCAGGCTCAGCCAGAATGAGCAACATGGGTTTGCCTTCCTTTGGGCCCACCACCTGCAGGAGGGGCCATATGAGTCGGGTGCATGAATCCATGGGCAGTGGCTGAAGGCGGGTCCTTGGCGCTATGACCGTGGCTTACCAAAGCTGGCTCTTGGGACATGGAATATGACCTCTCTGGTGGTGAAGGAGCCTGAGCTTGTGTGTGAGGTTGAGAGGTACCGACTTATAGTTGGGCTCACCTCGGCACAAACCATGGGCTCTGGAACCGATCTCCTTGAGAGGGCTGGAGCTTATTCCACTCTGGAGTTGCCCATGGTGAGAAGCGCCAAGCTGGTGTGGGTATACTCTTAGCCTTTGATTTGGTGCCTGTGTGTTGGAGTTCTCCCCGGTAGATGAGAGGGTAGCTTCCCTACGCCTTCGGGTGGGAGGACGGGCTCTGACTGTTGTTTGTGCCTATGCGCCGAATGGCAGTTCAAAGTATCCAGCCTTCTTGGAGTACTTGGCGGGGGTTCTGGAAGGTGCACCAGCTGGGGACTCCTTTATTCTGCTGGGTGACTTCAATGCCGACGTGGGTAATGACTGCGTGACCTGGAGAGGCGTGATTGGGAGGAACGGCCTCTCTGATCTGAACCCAAGCAGTGCTCTATTGTTGGACTTCTGTGCTAGTCATAGTTTGTTCATCACAAACACCATCTTCGAACATAAGGGTGTCCATAAGTGCACTTGCCACAAGGATGCCCTAGATCGTAGAGCGATGATTGACTTTGTAGGCGTGTCATTTGATTTGTGGCCATTTGTTTTGGATACTCGGGTGAAGATAGGATTTGAGCTGTCAACTGATCACCACCTGGTAGTGAGTTGGATCAGATGGTGGGGGAAGATACTGGCCAGACCCTGTAGACCCAAACGTGTAGTGAGGGTTTGCTGGGAATGCCTGGGAGAAGAAACTGGCAGAAAGAGCTTCAACTTATACCTCCGACAGAGATTTAACCACATCCCAGCTGAGGTGGGGAACATAGAGTCCGAATGGGCCATATTCCACGACTCAGTTATTGAAGTGGCTGCCTTGTGCTGTGGCCGCAAGGTTGTCAGTGCTTCTCGCGGCAGCCATCTTCGAACTCGGTGGTGGACACCTCGGGTTAGGGAGGCTGTCAAGCTGAAGAAGGAGTCCTATCGGGCTTTGTTGGCTGGTGGACTCCGGAGACAGCTGAGGACTACCAGAAGCGGTCTGCAACTTGGCTGTTGCTGAGGCAAAAGCTCAGATATGGGAGGAGTTCAGTGAGACCCTGGATAACGACTCTCGTCAGCTCCGAGGAGATTCTGGCAAATGGCTGAGGAGTACTATTGACCTCAGCCAGTGATGTCATTGAGAGGTGGAAGGAATACTCCTCAGACCTTCTCAATCCCACTGACACGTCTTCATGGAGGAAGTGGAGTCGGGAATTGGGGTTGGTCTGTCCATAACCATGGCTTAGGTTGCCGAGGTAATTAAAAAGCTCCACGGTGGCAGGGCTCTGGGGGTGGATGAGATTCATCCTGATGTCCTTAAGGATCTGGATGTTGTGGGGCTGTCTTGGTTAACATGCCTTTGCAACATTGTGTGGACATCGGAGACAGTGCCACTGGATTGGCAGACTGGGGTGGTGGTTCTCTTCTTTAAAAAGGGGGACCAGAGGGTGTGCTCCAATTATAGGGGCATCACTTTCCTTAGCCTTCCTGGTAAGGCCTATTCAGGGGTACTAGAGAAGCGAGTCCGATCGTTGGTCGAACCTCAGATCCAGGAGCAATAATGCGGGTTCTGTCCTGTCCGTGAAACACTGGACCAGCTCTTTACCCCCACTAGGGTCCTCGAAGGGTCATGGGAGTTTGCTCATTCAGTCTACATGTGTTTTGTGGACTTAGAAAAGGCATTCGACCATGTTCCTCGGAGTACACTGTGGGGGGTGCTCCATGAGTATGGGATTGTTACAGACTATTCGGTCCTTACACAAGCGGTTAGAGAGTTTGATTCACATTGCTGGTAGTAAGTCGAACCCTTTCAGGGTGGGAGTTGGACTCCATCAGGGCTGGCCATTGTCACCAATTCTATTCATAACTTTATGGACAGAATTTCTCGGTGCAGCCAGGTGGCGGAAGGATTCCGGTTCGGTGGCCTCAGGATTCCATCTCTGCTCTTTGCAGATGATGTGGTCCTGTTGGTGCCATTGTATTGTGATCTTCTGCTCTTACTGGAGCAGTTCGCAGCCGAATGTGAAGCAGCTGGGATGAGAACCAGCACCTCCAAATCTGAGGCCATAGTTCTCAACCGGAAAAGGTGGATTGCTCTCTTCAGGTCGAGGTTGGGGTTTTGCCTCAAGTGGAGGAGTTTAAGTATCTTAGTTCACAAATGAGGGAAGAATGGAGTATGTGATTGGGAGATGGATTGGTGCAGCTTCTGCAGCATTGTGGACTCTGTATTGGTCCATTGAGGTGAAGAGGGAGCTGAGCTGTAAGGCAAAGCTCTCTGTTTACCAGTCAGTCTACATTCCTACCCTCACCTATTGTCACAAGCTCTGGATAGTGACCAAAAGAATGAGATTGCAGATACAAACAGTTGAAATGAGTTTCCTCTGCAGGGTAGCTGGACTCTCCTTTAGAGAAAAGGTGAGAAGTTCTGTTATCTGGGAGAGACTCAGAGTAGAACCACTGCTCTTCCACATCAAGAGGAGCCAGTTGAGGTGGTTCGGGCATCTGATAAGGCTGTCCCCTGGGCGCCTCCTTAGGGAGGTGCGTCGGGCATGTCCAACGGGAAGGAGGCCCCGGGGAAGACCCAGGACATGCTGGAGAGGATTAGAATTGCATTTGGGCCCAAAAAATCAGACTCGACCCGGCCCCAGCCAGTAGCCATCATTTCCGAACCCCACCCGACCCAACAAATTAACAGTAATTACAGATCCGAACTCAAAAATAACCCTGACATTTTTAATTAAGCTTTGACTTATTATATAGATATTAATGATTGGCAGACGTGTGCGGCTGAATAACAGGGGAAGAAGATTGGAGCTGAGGGGGGTGTTTGTCCTTTCATGGCCGTCAAAGTGCATTAAATCCCTGCTTCTTCCTGCATTCTGCATTATTCAGCCACGGACCCTGATCTAACATATCTGCTTTGGGCGCTCACCTGTTTGGGCTGTCGGCCGCGCTCCTCCGCTGAGTGCAGCAGCTGAACGTCTATTTGGGCGATGGATCGCTTCTTAGCGGTAAAGTCCCATCTCAAGTTTAACTATGAGCCATGTTGCCATATCATAGGATTGTATGGCAAGCCATGTTGCCATATATTTGGATCGCCAACGGCGTTGACTGACGCAATCAAAAGCCAGACACCAACCCGGCTCGCCCATCCAGCACACTATTACGGCCCAGCCAGGCCCAAATTTGGGCCTGTCCGGGTCGAGCCGGGCTTCAGGCCCGTGTTAGAAATGACAGTTATACTTTGGGTCACCCCAGAAGAGCTAGAAGAGGTGGCTGTGGAAAGAAATATCTGGGATTCCCTGCTCAAACTGCTGCTCCCACGACCCAACTTCGGAACAAGCGGAAGATAATGAATGGGTGGATAGATAATTTAATAAGTTTAATAATTTATTAATTTAAATATATGCTAAATATTTAAATTAAAATGATTTTTTTTAATAAATTCAAATATAATTTAAATATATTTTATCATTTTGCTTCTTGTTTTTTTTTTTTGTTGTTTTTGTTCTCCGTTCCTGTGTTTCTAATATTTTACTAATTTTACTAATACCTTTTTACTAACTGTCTTTGAAGTGAGGAGTACGTATTTGTGTCGAGCGCTCTGATTGGCTGATTCTCGACCAATGAGGAGGCGCTATGCAAGCTCTCTGAACGTCCACGGTTTCATTTAACGCACACACAGCGGAACACGGTAAGTGTTTTAAGAAGCTCCCTCATCTGAGTCAATTTAACAGTTTACGAGCTTATTACCCAGCGTGTGGCTGCGTTAACTCGATAATTAGTGTTTAAACGTCGGTGTGTTGTTGAATCTCTGCTCCCAGATCAGTTTTAACCCTCTCTGAAGAGACGTTGATGTGTGGGTAAACTATCTTAGCTCACAGGCTAACTTAGATGACTTGATTGAGCAACTAGCATCAGCTAATGACTTACGAGCTGTCGGCACAAGCAAAATTTGCGTTATAAACTAATAGCTTAGCTGTCTTCACGCCTTTGCTGGTTCATTCACGCGTCATCGTAATGGTCAGGAGAGTTTGGGCTCTTAAAATGTGTCATTAAACCGCTTTTTTAAAGAGTATAGTCCTATGCTAACTGCCGAGCTAGCTAGCGCCCCGTGTTTACCCAAGAGTTGTCAGCCGTTCACCAACTTTAATTACGCGTAGATTTTATATATGAACATTTCACTTAACATTATGAGCTAGTCTGTGTTTTGTCAGACTAGTTGAAGCAAGTTACCGTCGTGTCTTATTTCTTCCCATTTTTTTCAAGCTACCACCCGACATTTTCAGTGTGCTAACTACATGCTAACAGTTTAAGTTGTCAAACTTAGTTTCAAACAAGCTTCTAGTAGTTATTAAGCTTAGTCCCTGTAAATGACTCCAAAGTTAAATTTCCTCAATGTTTACCTTTTAATTTGTCCAGCTGCTGATTTTAAGCCGTGTTAATAGTCTTGCTGTTGGTTTGGAAAGCTAATAGCCACACCCTTCCTTTCGAAACTAACTGCGCTACAAGTTGTCAGAAGTTGTTCATTTTAGTAGAACAACATGTTGGCGGGTTAGAACAAAGTGTTATGTTATACATTGTAAAGTTTAACCTAACACGGTAAATCATGTAAATAAGACATGTATTTGAGTGTTTCATTCAAGGTAAAACCCATTACCCCCCACCCCCCGGCGCTGACATATGATACTTTCATAATTTAAAGATGTTGCCTGGTTAGTTACACTGAAAACAAACTGTGACCTGGTGGTTTTAATGCTTCAGATGAGTTATTTTTACACCATGTTCCTAAACAATATATTTTAAGACAAGGGAACATTTGGTTAAGTAACATAATTAGTCATATATTCGTAAATTAGCAATAAAAAGTAGTAAAAGATCAAGACAAGTATTTTTTCCATCAGTATTTTTAAGGAATTTCCCACAATGTGAACACTTGTTTATACCTTTATGCGAAGACAAGCTTTTAATCAAGTTTAATACTTTAAGCAGTTGTTGAGATTGTATTTAGATTGTAATACCAACTGTCACGTCGTCCCTGCAGACACTTTTTTTTTGCTTTACATAAAACCAGAGAGGCTGTTTATAAGAGATGATTTAAGATTTGCATCAAAACACAAAAGTTAAGTCTTGTAAAAGCAGCAGCTACACAAGAGGCAGGGAAAAAAACTAATGTCAGATATTCCTGATAAATGGAGCTAAACCTTTTTAAAATTTTGACTGAACTCAGCTGTCCTATTTGCTGTACGTTTATCCGTTATCCATCCATTCATTATCCATTCATCCATCATCTTTACCCACTTCCTCCTTTCTGGGTCACTGGTACCCATATCCATCAGTCGGCAAGAGACGGGGGACACCCTGGCCAGATCTCCAGTCCATCACAGGGACACAGAGACAAACTAGACAAACAACAATTCACACTCTCACTCACACTTAGACTGATCGGTAACTCTAAATTGTCACTAACATGCATGTTTTTGGTCTGTGGGAGGAAACTGGAGTACCTGGAGAAAACCTATGCAACATGGAGAGAACATGCGGACTCCACACAGAAAGGCCCCCGGTCGGGATTTGAACAGGCGACCTTCTTGACTCTTGCTCTACCAACTGCCCATCTGCTGTACAATTCTATCCAAAACAGTTTTCCACATTGAACGTCAGCCTTTTTGTTAAACAAAGTGGTTATTCATTTATTAAATGTTTTATTTAGACTTTATTTGGAGAGCTTAATTGAATGTTGTTTTCCTTAAGGGCAAGTACAGTTTGGTTTCACTCGCTGGCTCCAGGACATCTCCGCACCGTCTGGACTGGTTGACATCAGCGCACCTGAGGATCTCCCTGTCCCCGATGTAGAGGGAGTTTCCATCAGCAGCAGTCGTGTACACAGTAGGTGAAGCTTTTTTATTCACCAGAAAAAGTCCATACGAGTAAAAAAACAAAACATGTTCATTTATATTCTGATGCATGCTCAATAATCCAGGTAGATAAATCTAACAAGGTTCACCTTGATGTTCATTTTTAATGAATTTGTTCTGCTTGTCACGGTCTGTGTGAATAGTTTTTAGCTGATAGCATGAATGAGCAGCGTCGATGGTTTCAGCGTTTGATCGCCCACTCTTTCAGTCTAGGCTCATGTCTAATCAGAGATTGGCTTGTGTTTCTTATCTGATGAAAGGACTAGATACATTTATATTTCAAACAGTACTTGGTTACCAGATACTAAGTTTGTTAGGCCTCTTTCAGCATCACATCTAGATCTCGTTCCACAGATAATTGCAGTGCGGCAGTCATGCATGCGCTCTCTGATCTCCATGTTCTGTTTCTGGTGTACTTGAGTAGAGGAGGGTCATCACAATGGCTCTTTGTAGAAAGCCTTGTGTGCCGTCCCTCTCTGTGGCGCTTCATACGTTGTTTAGAATTGCTAATGCAGGCCGAGGGTGACAGAGATCTCCTATTGTCTGACCGCTCGACAAAGCTTTCACACACCCAGAATAATTAGTAGATTCAAAGAGATTTTACTGTACACCTCACCCACACTTTGACATTTCTACATCAAAAGCATATTATATTAGTGTTAGAATTAAAGTTCAGTTAATAAATGAAGAAATGAAGTAACCTTATAAGGATTATCTGTGTTGTGTTTCACAAATGAAACCATTAGAGTATCCTTACATAGAATGATGTAGATTCAATAAACTCCACATCCAAGCAGATAATCTCACACAAGATTTTTGTTTTATATATATATATATATATATATATATATATATATATATATATATATATTTCAGTGTTTCCACTACCATTATACAAGCAGTGTGCCCCATCCTGTCAATAGAACCAAGCGCCACGCCTACTGAAGTCCCCCACCCCCGTCGACAACAGCCTGTATTGATGTAGCGCGGTGCGCAATACAAACGCGTTAGCCAAAATGCCCCACACACACAATCGACCATTATCGGCAGCAATATAGTGCTAGGCTAGCGGGACGAGCACCCTGCCATGGGAACTGATCTCCTACCATTATACAAGCAGGCTGCCCCGCCCATCAACAGAGCTGAGCACCCTGCCTACCAACAAACATGCCCCCCCTCCAAGCTAGCGGCGCGCAATACCGACGTTCTAACTAAAAATCTCCGTTTCTTTTACAATTAGCCGTCACCCCCCGGCTTGAAAACTGTAGAAACAGCACGCAACACGGACGTGTCTCATTCACACACCAAAAATCACGACATTTCTTCCATGACAAAAATTATGAAGAAATGAGTGCCCTGCCAAGGCAAGTAATGTTGGGAAACACTGCACTGGAGTTTTCAAGTTTATATATTTATATTCTAAAACTATCACTAATGTGAGAAACGGACAACGTGAAACTAAAGAATAGTTTTAGATAACCTTAGTTTGCCTTTATCAGAGACATTTTTACATTTTGTTGAACACATTTCTGAATGGTTTCAGAGATTTAGCAAAAAATAAAGAAAAAGTACTTTACTGATATGTAGCCTTTTCTAAATGAACATAGATTTTAGATTGTTTCATCATCTCATGCTGTCACCTGTGTTGATGCAGGTTTTTAATATGAACCATCAGAAATGAGTGTTTAGAGTCTTATTATGTTCGCTGCTAAGATGAGTTTTCATAGTTCTGAGTTTCTTTTCTCCTTCGTGTAGGCAAACCCTGAAGTAGTCAGGAAGTCCTACTTCAGCGTTTCATCAAATATAAGATGCGTAGTATGACACACGAAGCGTTGAACGACTTCCTGCTATTCGAAGCTACACGTTGAATTCAGAAGAAGTTTTCAAATGATCCACATTTGTCTCTTTATTTTTCTCTTTAAAGAATTAACTTTGGCAGTTCCTTTTAGTGTCAGATTTTTTTCTAGGCCATGAATGTGTCTAATCTGTGTCAGGCTGGTGGAGCTGATGACGGCTCGTTCTCAGTGGCCCCCCTCCCCTGGATTATAATGACATGGTTGTTTGTGAAACGACCATTGAAGCAGAACTTGTGTTTCAGCGAGAGACTGCAGACACTGAGCAAAACTTTACAGAACACAACGTTTAAAAAGAAGAGCGTTATTTAATAATGTTAAACTAACAATGTTGTGGTGTGAAACGGAAAATGAGCGTAAACATAACGTGGACAGACTTCTGACCTGGAGTTGGTGCCCCCTCCCAATCTAAATGACTGTAAGCTGTTGCATCATTTCTGTTCCACTGATATATCGATGTGGTTTGTTTCCTGTTCTGCACCAGAAGCAAACATCTGGCCACCAGCACATCTGAGCTACTGGTGGCTGAGACGTGAAACAAGTCTGGTCTTATTGCTCCAGCTGTGAATCTGGAGCTGCTTCGTCCTAAAGCTCAGACTGGTGGAGGAAAGGGGTTTCCTCATTTAGTTAATTTAGCTCGCAGAGTCCTAATGAAACAGTCATAGTAAAAGAATTTATAAAAATTTCATATTTCTGCATTCTACTTATCATGTAAAACGGGAAAAGACAAATTAAGTAGAAGTGAAACATGTTGAGCTTTATTTCAGTTTCTGTTAATGGAGCAGAAATTACCATAATTTCTGGACTATAGAACGCAGCTGAATATAAGCCACACCCACTAACTTCAAAAAGAAAAAGATGCACATATGTAGGCTGCGCTTGTCTATAAGCTGCGTGTGTGCAGGTTGCAACATGAGATATTTACACTAAGACTTTTTTAAAACATTTTATTAAATACATACTGGTGGTAAGTTACCATTGGTAACATACACAGATACGTACAATGATTTTATTATTATTATTTTCTGAACAGTGCCGGTAACACAGCTGGTTAAAAAATAAATAAATATAGTAGCCTACCAGGAAGTCATTGATCGCTATATTCATTCCTCCTGTGCACTAAAACCACTAAAGTCTTCTTCAGTGTCAGAATTGAACAGCCTCAGAAAAACTTCATCACACACGTCCTCAGTCTCTTTCCTTGTCGCTCTCATCGTCACTTTCGTCTTGAGGTAAATTCGCCCTTGAGCTTATGCTGTCCTCTTCATCACGCAGCAGCCTTTTGAAACCTGTTGGTGCTGGTGGAGCTTTTGGCACTGCACCGCTGTCAGGATACACCTCAGGCTTGAGCAAACGTTGCTGTTCGCATGCGACCAGTTTTGATCAACGATTTCTCGCCACCAGTCATCCAAGCCTCCCAGTGAGCTCGGAGTGCCACTTTAAATGCACGATTCAGACTGATGTCGAGTGGCTGCAAATACTTTGCTGTGCCCGCAGGGATCACACGTTTCACGTGATCACGAGACGTGTTTTGGGCAGCTATGGGAGCGCCCGGGTGTAACGAGGATAAATGTTTTGGCAGCAGGAAGCTCGTTAGCCCGTAAAAATCCATAAATTAGCCGCACCATTGTTTAAGCTGCTGTGTTCAAAGTGTGTGAAAAAAGTAGCGGCTTATAGTCTCAAATTTACAGTATTTATAGAAAAGGTTTTTAGTTTAAAAAATAACTTTTCCATTCTCAAACAATTAAAAAAGAACAGAATAGAAAGATTTATACCGTGCCTGTGTCTACATACAGTTTCTGACAATTGTCCTCTGATTCTGTACTTTAAAGGTTGTTCCTGTTTGGTGTTACAGAACATTTTTTCTCAGTCCGGTTCTTTGTCTTTGACATGTGCATTATATTTATACCTCTATGGTTTGCTTTGTGCACACTGAGTTACATGTAGATCTTTTCAGAATCAGAATTCCTGCGAGCATTCCTACTTCTTCATTCTGTTTGATAAAAACTGCTCCAGATGCTCTTTAGACTTGTTGTTAAACTGTAAGCTCACTTTACATCAGTAACTTCTTCCTGCTTCTGTCCTGTGTGTAAAATGACCGAGTTGATGTGTTGCTGGAGCACATCTGAGCAGGGCTTGGATGTAGTCACAGAGTTGAGCTGGCTAGTATGCGTGAGGTGGGGGGATAACATCAGAAGAGCTTATTCAGCGATGCAGCCGTCGCTCTGCTGGTCCTTCGGTGCTGATGTTATTTGTGTGGGTTACGAGAGTTTGAAATAAACAAGTTTGTCTTTAAGAGCTTTTGATCGTTAAACTTAAAGCCCCATTAAAGATAACGTAGCCTCTGAGGATTTATTGCACTTTTTGTGTATCAAGTTCAAATGTCCTCATCTGTGTGGACTGTATTCAGTTTCCTGAGCTACAGGAAGACACCAGAGTTATGGAACAATGATAGAGTTTCATACAGATCTTCTTGGTTCTTGCTGTAAGGGGTAACAAAATAAAAGCAGCAACACCCATATCATCATGATGACGGCTGAAGGCCTTTGGGAGTGGGTGGAGAGCCAGCTCGGTTTTTGGCAGAAGAATGAGCTTCTTCTATGTTAACATGAATTCTTTATAGTTGTATAAACTGCACCACGATCAGCTCAGTGAACAGAAGGTTATAAATCACAGTACGGGGGGGGGGGGGGGGGCATTTTTAATTTTGTGACTGTTTTAACTCGGAAGCATTTCAGATCATTTTTGAATAGGACACAGCTGATGTATCTTTCTATCCAACAGAAAACTGTGTTGTTCTCTCAGGTTTCTGTGCTGCCCAGTGAAGCCTCCCACCATGCGTGAGTACAAGCTCGTTGTGCTCGGATCAGGAGGTGTGGGGAAATCTGCGCTGGTGAGTTACTCTGGAAAAACCAAGGTTCAAATTTCTGTCATTCGCATCACATGTGGTACATGATGAGGTGGAACAAAATTATGTACTCAAGAGTCCCAGTTACACCCAAAAATAGTACGAGTATAAAGAAGAAACCGTATTTATTATTCCATCTTCCATGAAGTGTGTTTTATTGTCATTTCAGAACAGAAATGTTGAAGAAGTTATCCAGTTTGTGTTGTGCTGTTTGGTCTGATTTTGTTGTCATTCACCGGCTCTTTGTTTGTTTGTTTGTTTGTTTCAGACAGTCCAGTTTGTTCAGGGAATATTTGTGGAGAAGTACGACCCCACCATAGAGGACTCTTACAGAAAGGTAGAGTCAGACTCGCTCCACGCTGCCTCCTGAGCGTCGGTGATTTAAAAATGGCTGCTCTCTCCTTGTGTCTCCTCAACAGCAAGTGGAGGTGGACGGGCAGCAGTGCATGCTGGAAATCCTGGACACGGCTGGAACGGTACGTCTCTGAACCCGAGCACCGGATGGAACATGTTATCCAGAGAACATGTACTGACGCCGCCTCTTCCTGTCCTGCAGGAACAGTTCACAGCCATGAGGGACCTGTACATGAAGAACGGACAAGGCTTCGCTCTGGTCTACTCCATCACAGCACAGTCCACGTTTAACGACCTGCAGGACCTCCGGGAGCAGATCCTGCGAGTAAAAGACACCGAGGACGTGAGTAAAATATAAAAACATCGGTCGTTTGGACCTTTTGGAGCTCGGAACAAGATGTGCACCAAGTGATACAAACACGACACACAAGTGCACACACACCTAATCCCTAAATCCCCGATTTACTCTTTTTAATTCAGCATCACTTTGTTGTTTTATACGAACGACATGAGGCTCAGTTAGTTGAGTTATTCAGACATTTGTGCAATAAAAGAAGAAAATCAATGAGATAAAAACCAGAGACGCAACAGTTTGTGGCTAAATTAAACAGAAGAAAAGCAAAGATGCTCTACGGTCACACAACTTCAGTTACGACAACATTACAACAATGAACTGTTTGTTGAGATGAAGGAAACCTAACTCTTGTTGTTGTGATGGGACCAGCGTGCACGTGGAGCGCTTTGAATAATTCTGCACACACTGATGCCACGCAGGGAGCTTTAACACGCATGTCAGCTAAAACTTGTGCTCGTGCACAAACCTACAGCAAACGAAGACGAGGCAGGAGGCCCTGAGTTATTAAAACTGGAATCATGAACTTATGGAGCTTCACAGGACTTGGAATATCTCCACTCTAATAATAAGTGTCTCACCTGCAGTCCAACAGGTTTAGTAAAAATAAAAAGTATCGTAGCAGTAGGTAGGAGAAACACTGATGTAATTATGTCATGAAATTAGCATATCATGATATTTATTTTCCTGAGCAAGTTTTTTTTACTGGTATTATCGTGAACGATGTGATATGGCCCAGTCCTACAGCTGCGTTGCCGGCACTGTTCAGAAAAGTAATTTACATATTTGTGTTTGTTACCAGTACACGTTTAAATTAAAGTATATATACAATTTTTTAAATTTATTTTTATTTATTGTGCACGGCTTATATTCGGTGCGTTCTATAGTCTGGAAATTGTGGTAAATTTGGTAATTATTTAATCGAGTATTTTGTAATGTTTGTGTGCAGTATTTATGAATAAAAATGTAAATGAGGCAGGTGAAGGTTTCTGGAACTGAAGCTTCAGAGTACACTGAAAATCTTTTATAACTGCAGAGCTGCGTTTTCCTTAGATAATTGTTACTAACTGGTATTTTATCAAGTACTCCAATGTTTTTCTACAGTTCCCTGGTAGTTGTTGTGGATTGTTGTTAAACATTTATAACAAATATAAAGAAATAACAGCTTGTACTCTTAATAAATGATTATAATTGGTCAGTCCAGTGATCTCTCAGGCCTTGATGCCCACACACCATGACAGAAAACAAAAGGAGGAAACTGGGTCGTCATAGCAACAATAAACAATATTATCACATAGTGCAAGTTTGTCTCTTATTGTGCATCTCTAGTTTGAACACGTATGTCTGAATATGAAGTTAATGGATGGATTATTGGATTGTAGTACCCAAATTCAACACGTGAGCTGCAGCTCCACAGGACCAAGGAGGAGGTTCTCGTTTCAGTTTGTCTTCTAAATGAGCCTCTCGTGTACATCAGACGTTTGTGTTAACAACAGTTTAAACTTTAACCACAGAAACAGTCCTCAGCCTGGATGTTGGGACATCACGAGGACTGAAGTGGACACATGGACCACCTGTACCATCGTCTGCGTATCTTTACCCTCACCGACCCCCAACACTAACGGGGGGGGGGGGGCAAAGCTTCTGACAGCAGGACCTGTCAGAGATGTTGGATCCCGTCTGTCGCGCTCAGTCTTTGTTGCGTCGTCAGTAGAGGAAGGACGAGCTGTTTCCTTTATTCACAGCAGGTCTCCAGTTGTTTCTGCTGTTCTGCTCACTGATGGAGACATTTTGTCTACGTCTGATTAGGATGCACAAGTTCTGTCCAAATATAACGAGCAAAACTTTAATCAAACATCCACCATCCATCCATTATCCGCTCCTTCCTTTTCCGGTCACGGGGGTCAATCCAGCAACCTTCTCGCTGAGAGAGGCAACCCACACTGAGCCACCGTGCCGCTGGCTCCCTGTTAAATTCAGAATAGAATTCAAAGTCTTCTGACATACAAAGCTCTCAACAACCTAGCTCCAGCTTGCATTACAGATCTTATTGTTGCATATTTTACTAACAGAACACTTCACTCTCAGACTGCAGGTTTTACTCGTGGTTCCTAGAGTTCCCTTCCTGTCCTTAGTCTTGGTGCATAATGCTTGGAAAGCCTTGTGTCCGTCTGTAACGTCGTGTGTTCTGATGGATCAGGTTCCCATGATCCTGGTGGGAAACAAGTGCGACCTGGAGGACGAGCGCGTGGTGGGCAAGGAGCAGGGTCAGAACCTGGCCCGTCAGTGGAACAACTGTGCCTTTTTAGAGACTTCAGCTAAATCAAAGATCAATGTTAACGAGGTGAGCGCCAAGTCCACACACAACACATTTTACTGACACAGCTCAGGACTCTGCATGTTGAGGTTGGAGCTGGATTCTTGTCATATTTACATTTATCAAAGGGGTGAGTCTGCATTAGACTGAGGTCTGGAGAGAAGAGGAAAAAACAAACATGCCTACTTTACGTGTTCCAGCTTAAAGAGGTTAAACACGTTTTATTGCTCTTTGACTAAATTAACAATCCTAATTGATGTTTCTGTAGATTTTCTACGATCTGGTGCGGCAGATCAACAGGAAAACGCCGATGGAAAAGAAGATAAAAAAGAAGTCAGGCTGCACGCTGCTCTGAGAGACTCGGGTGCTCCAGGTGAGACTTTTCTTCACAACATCTGTGACGCTTTTGACTTCTTGAGCCAGGACTTTTAAAATAATTATTAGATAAGTTTAGACTTACCGTAATTGTCGGGCTTTAGATCACACCTGTCTCTAAGCTGCACTTATTAAATATAAGATAAATCATAATTTTGTACATAAATAAGTTGCTCTGGTTATTTATCCGTGGACAGCCACTGTTCGTCGTCAGGACCTGTGCCCCCAGACTGCTCAGGCTGCACCTTCCTTGTTGTAGTACAAGAACCAGCCAGTAGGTGGTGCTTCACAAATATAACTTGTTTTCAATACACAGACTGCAAGATCATCATGAAGCTTCACTGTGTGACTCATGGTTACAACCATTAGACCTTCAAAATAATTTATCTAAGCATAATCACTGGACAGAACAGTGCCAAACACCTACGTAACTGAACTTATTTTAAAATTATTTACCGGTAAAACCCAGTCTTATCTAGGTCATGTGACCGGAAGTCAAATAAGAAATAAGTACCTGTAGAATGCTGTAAATATTCATTAAATTAGTACCATTTCTTTTTATAGGTGAACGCTTTTAACAACTGCAGTTTTTAAATGTACTTTTAAAATAAATTTGATGTGATTCTCCTCAGCAGAGCTCATATGAAAAAGAACAGCCCTCCCTCCCCGTTGTCTTTTTGTTTTTCCCTCCCGTCTCCTCAGTTCTGTTTCATGCTCCTGTTGAAGCTCAAATGAGATACTGGTATTCAAACACACATTTACCGTACACAGAAAGATTTTTTTTTTGCTTTTATTGAAACATGTATCAGTCTTGACTGACTGGCTGCTTTAAAAATAAACCTGGCAACTTCTCCACTGCTGATCTCTCATGACTGAAGGGGGAGGGGGGGGGTCTCTGCTTCGTGTTCGGATGTGACTTTAAAATGAGATCCCGGTATTTAAATGCATATTTACCGACACAGAAAGAGTTGTTGATGACGGTGCAGTTTAACGGACTGTTAACCAGGGTGCTCCTGATGCTCTTTAACTTCACAGAAAATGGAACGTCCTGAGCTGCGCGCTGTTTGTACGACAGTAGTGATGTGCCGATCGATGCTAAAATATCGATACTATCGATCCAGAACGTTTCGCTCTAGAATCAATGTTTAAATCAAATTATCTATACTTGTGATACTTCAGTCATTTCAGGTAATGCATATCATTAACAGGAATATGGTGGAAAGTAACTAAACTGAGATCTTGTCTAAATGATACGTGTTGGAGGGAACTACTTTTTTCTTCCACCTGAGTAAATGCGTAATGCGTTTCAGCGGAGCGGCATGCTGCTCGTCAGTCTCTGTCTGTAGACACAGCGGCGGAGTTTAACAGAGTCATGTGTGGAGCTATTTCAGCTCCAGAAACGGCAAAGACGCTACCTGGATTATTGAGCATGCATCAGGATAGCCAAGAAAGGAGCTGTAGCAACACAACAAACCTTGTAAAACACTTCCTGTTAAACCACAAAACAGAATGAGGCAGAGAGAGAGCAAAGAGTCAGGTGCTGCTGCTCTGGAGGAGTCCCTCAGGGCTGCAGGAACTATCCAGGTACAGAGGGAGGAAATGTGGAGCTTCACGCTGTGCTAAGAACTGCTGCAGTTGGAGTTGTTCATATTAATACATACGGTTATGAAATAATTAACAACATAAATTCATGCTTCAACAAATAGTTGCATGAGTTCAGTTTGGAGTAATAATATGTGCATCACTGAGATAATCTCACATGGGCAAAAAGCTTAGATTTATTCAGGTAAGGTTTCCTAAAGAAATGATAATTTAAAGTGGATTACATGGACCAGGTGTCATCGGATTATACAGAGCAATGGTGATAAAACAGCCTTGGTGAACTCTGAAAAATATATACTACAAAAATGTGGATAAAAATATAACATTATTTTAAACATATCTCATTATTTAATAGATATTTAAATATTTATTTTAATAGTTTTATGAATTTTATTTTTTGAAAAACCATTTTCACATATTTTGTATGATGTCCTGTTTGTTTTATAAGCTCAGACTAAATGAGGCCACTGCATCAAGAAACTGCTCAGTTTAAAATAAATTACTTTGTCTTGCATTCTTTATCAACTTTGATTTGAATACACTGCTTTTTTTTTAGGTTTACCTGACACATTAGGCGTATTTGCAAAAAGTGTCAGTATCGTTATCAATATAATCGATACTCGCATGGCTTCTGCACGGTATCGCATCGGACCAGAAAATCCTGGTATCGAACATCACTAACCGACAGTTTTTGAGCGGGGGGGGGGGGGGGTGTCAGCATGAGTGAAGAGGCTGCCTTAAGCTTTTTAGCTTTCACGCCTGTTTTGTGCGACGCTAACTTAGCTCTACATCAGTGCTGTCAGGGAGTGGGGGGGTGCGCACAGTCCTGTTGATGGGGCAGGGTGACCGGCTTGTATTATGGTGGGGAAACGCTGCACAGTAACAGGAAGTGATGTCAATGGGGAGCAGATCGTGGCTACAATAACAAACTTTCTTCAGATTATTTTGACTCATCATCAAAGAGAAGAGTCAGAGTTCAAATAAGCTTGTTTTAATAAATAAAGAACAGGAAGTTCCCCTTTTTAAAGTGTTCCCCTGTGATGTCATTTCCTGTTTCACTTTGACTATGCCAAGTTTGACAGAAAATGTGCCAGTTATGTAACAAAATGGGTAAAATCTTGTGTTTTAAGCCAAACTTCTTCGATATTAAAACGTTTTCTTTCACTCTGTGTTTGTAGAATTTCGCAGACATTTCTTGATGATGTGTGTAGTGTTCAATGTCACCTGTAACGACGAGCCCGTGACTCTCAGGTGGTTTATTTTCATCTTTGGTTTATTTTTATCTGCAGAAACTTGTCTCCAGATGGATGATGCCAGCATTCCAAGTCCTCTCCCGAGCGTTTTTAGAAAATGGCTGACCGACAAACCTCACCACTTGTAAACTGGCAGAAGGCACATACTCTAAAGAAATATTCTGCTTTTAATGACAAAGAAAATCCACTTCTTTTGTATCGTCAGCGTGTTGACAACAGTTTTCCTCGTCTCTAAGCTGTCTTTTCTTCTGGAAATATTCATGTAGAAGAGGAGACTGTGGATTCAGATCCATATATGGGAACTAAAAAGGTTTTTATTAAACAGTAACATCACTTTTTGACGTGACATTTGAAATGTTGGTCTTCTTGTACATTTCTGCACTAACTGTGTCCATGAAGATGTCAACAAGTCCTACGTACAGGATGTGTCTTGGTAACATCTTTCCTAAGTGACTTTGTTTTATACTGAGAGCTGCAGGCCTTCCATATTTCCCATAATATATTCTACTTCCATCTTTGCATAATAAAGTCAAAGAAATGAGTATTTTACAGACTCGTGGGGGGAACGGGTGCGTTCTGATTTGTGTCTTGAAGCTTCAGATATATTGTACTAAACCACATCTAATATGGCTTCTACCCTGTCACAGATGATTTCCAGCTTTTATGAATGATTAAATTTTAGTACATTTTCATTATTTTTGTAGTCTTTTTTTTTCTCTCCATGGGAAGTGTCTGAAACTGTTTGTTGCTTCAGTCGGTCCCCCAGACTGGAGCGTGACGAGTGTTTGTTAGTCTGAGGAAGAGGAAGAGGAACATGGAGTGTCAGCAGCAGGACAGAAGGAACAGAAACTGATCAGATGAGATGCTGTAAGCATGTAAAAAGTTGACATGGTGCACAAAATATAGAGCCCGACTGATATGGACATTGTGGCTATTGCCGATACCGAAGGGGAAGGCGACCGCTGATAACAGATATAATGGCTGAAACATGTTGAGCTTTGTCCATCCCCAAGAATCTCAGTGAACTGAGAGGAGCTGGGCTTGTTTATTTAGCGCTGCTGTTAGCCACCATGAAGCTAAGCTAATCAGCTGTAATTAGTCCCACTGAGCTGCCTTTTGTTCAAAGACAGTAATGGGTTTATCATGGAAGTTACATAAATGAGGTGATGAATACACGGTTATTAATTAGTTGAAACAAATTCATGCGAAAAACTTGAAATGTTTTGGGTTGAATTCCAATCAGTGAGACATCCGATCTTCGTCATATTGTACATGCAAGCACGTGAGGTAGTGAGTGTTCTTACCACAGAACAATGTTTGATGTCCTCAGGTAAACCGGAAGCTTCAGAAAATAAATGGGAGAAAACGGCTCATACACGCTAAATGTGCCACACGTGCTGGTGCCTCGGGAGACGCAAGTCTTTTTACAAATTCATAAGTAAAAGATCTTCAGTAAAATCAAGAAAGCAAGCCTTATCTGAGGACTACTTTATTTTATTCACTGTCTAGCTTCACAGTCACGTGTTGTGAGGACGGCATGCCCCACTAACATTAGCTAACTTGAGAGGAGCATAGAGCTCTAAATACAAGCAGGTTGGAGGATTGAAGAAAATTTATTAGTGTTGATCCAACAATTTTCAGTCAGGTCATCTGGACAGTTTCTTTTTTTTTTTTTTTTTTTGTGCTGGAACGTTTCACCTTCCATCAATAAGGCTTCATCAGTCAGAAACACACAGATGACCTGCCTGAAAATTGTTGGATTGTATACCTGGATTATTGAGCATGGACTTTGTTGGTTTTGAACCAGTTTGACATGACTGTCTACGAGGAAGAGGGCCGGCACCGGAGGAGGGGGCGTGTCAAAGAAACCACCTTGGCACCAACATAACTGGTTTGTTCCACTTTGGAGTAAGCTGTTTGGGGGGGAAGAATCAATTTTGTGTTGTGCGTTTCCTTGACTGATGAAGCCTTCTGGATGGAAGGTGAAACATTTCAGCAGAAAAAAAAAACCCAAAACTGTCCATTTGACCTGACTTTAGTCACATAACGAGGCTTCTATATCCAGCCACACTGGATGGATTTCCAGATGTCCTCTCTCGGACGTATAATAGAAGAGAGCTTAAATTATATTTTTTGAGCTCTGGAAGGTCTAAGCCTCCCATGTGTCTTTTTAGCTGTAGTGTTGACATTTTTATGAATGCCTTTTATTTGCTCCAGCTAAAAGAACTAAACCAGCTCTTTAATTTTTGGATCCATTTTTGAATAAACAGAATAAGGATCATTCTGACTGGGTAGGAACATAGACCAACCGGTAAACAGAGTTTTGCCTTACAACTCAGCTCCCTCTTCACCACAATGGACCGGCACAGAGTCCGCAATACTGCAGATGTTGCACTGAATCTGTCAGTCAATCTCAGGCTCCATTCTTCCCTGACTCGTGAACAAAACCCTGAGATACTTGAAATCCTCCACTTAAGGCAGAACCTCACCATCGACCAGAAGAAGGCAATCCATCCATTTCCGACTGAGGACCATGACCTCAGATTTGGAGGTGCTAATTCTCATCCCAGCTGCTACACACCTGGCTGTGAACTGCTCCATTGAGAGCTGGAGATCACAGCACGATGATGCCCACAGGACCACATCATCTGCAAAGAGCAGCTATGGCCACAAATTTTGGGTATTGAGGGAAAGAATGAGATCACAGAGTCGAAATTTAAATGAGTTTCCTCCGCAGCGTAGCTGGACTCTCTGATAGAGTGAGAAGTTCAGTCATTCGGGAGAGACTCAGAGTAGAACCTCTACTCCTCTACATCGAGAGGAGCCAGTTGAGGTGGTTTGAGCATCTGGTAAGGATGTTTCCTGGGCACCTTAGGGAGGTTCTTCGGACATGTCTGACTGGGAGAAGAGACGCCGGGAATAACCCATTAAATGCTGACGAGACTATGTCTCTCTGTTGGTCTGGGAAAGTCTTGGGATCTTCCCAGAAGAGCTGGAAGAGGAGGCTGTGTAAAGAGATGTTTGGGCCTCCCTGCTCAAGCTGCTGCCCCCGCGACCTGACTTCGGAACAAGTGGAAGATAATGGATGGATGGTATCCCTGAATCAACTAATGAAAAATTGTCTGACTCGGGGAAAACATTTAGAGATATTCTAAATGACAAATCGAACATTGATCAAAAATACATTGAAACTGGTCAAGTACGCCATCTTGGAAAACCATTAAAGGTTGGTGATACAAGACCAAGACTGATAATAGGCCCTTTTCACATGACGTCAGACAACTTCCTTTTTGACTCGATGCTGTGGATCATTACTTCCGGGTCTATTCTCCCTCTGGAGACCTGTCTGGAAACTTAACGGAATTTCATTCATTCAACCTTTATTTATAGCGGTTATATTACAAGATATAGCACAAGGTAAGGTTAATAAAAACTGTAGTTATGTGTTTGTTAGCTGTGTTAACGTTATACATCATTGCAGCAACTTTAGCCACAGTAGCTAAAATATACAACATGGGCTGTCAGTGCTCTAACGTTTAAAGGTTTACAAGCTATATTAATGTTAATAAAAACAGTATTTATATGTTAGTTAGCTGTGTTAACGTTATCCATCATTATCAATGTACCATTCTGTAACTGTGTAAGGAAACAGCATCCAATTGTAAAGTAAGCTAGCTAGCAGCTAACAGGTAGCTAAACTCTACACTGCTGCTGCCTGTCAGTGCTGTAACATTAAAATGTTTAACTTTATCTATTAATGTAAAATCTCTGACATCTTCCAACACTGTTGTTTAGAATAGCATTTTAAATATTGAATTAAAAACTATGTGTCAAACCATTTCCATGTTCTGATGATTAATAATTTCTCTTTTTACTTTCTTCTTGTGTCCATCTTTCTCAGC